CACCATGGCCTCCCGCTAACGCATGTCAAGCGACCTCTTTCATCGGTACCGCCCGAAGCTTTGCAGCCGAGGCAAGGAGAGGTGGTCAGAGTCCCGGGCTTGGTCATGGCCAAGGGTGCGACCAAGTCAACCTGCTTTGCACCCTTTCTCGCAAGCGCGTCAGAATCTCAACCAGCCGGCTGGCGCTTGTTCCTAAAGCTCTGGACACCTGGAAGCGAGGCTTCAGGGAACACGAGATCGGTTTACAGCGCACAGTGCTGCTTCCGCGCAAGCAGGGAGAGTAAAGGCCAAGACACTCAAGACACTGCGGAGCTTGCAAAGTCGGCACTGGCTTTCTGTTCCAAGCTCTGCGGGGAGGTTTTGCGGGGCACTTCCGCGAGGCAGGGCAGTTCTAGAATAGCTGAAGGCTAAGCTGGCATGTTGAGCATGTTGCTAGGCAATCTGCATGTTTATGCGAAGGAGCTGCATCTATTTGTCTATTTGCAGCAGCCGGCAGGCTGACCTGACAAAGGGTAAACTAAAGTGGCAACCGGGGGCACCCTTGTGTTTTGCTGAGCCCTGAAAGGCTCGCAACACCCCTACTTGACTGCTCAGGGCTTTCCAAGCCCAGAGTTCACCATGACAATCTCAAGCAACGTTGTCGTCACAGACCCTGACCGCATTACATTACAGAAAGGATGCAGGGCAGTTGTCTTCAGGAAGGGTTCTACCCAGTATTACTGCTGCGTTGCGCGTGAGGCAGGCTTGCGCGGTGATAAATTTTGCAAAGCCAGCGCCAAACCGGGAGCTCGGCATTCAGCACGGTCGGCGCCTGCATGGTTTTCCGAAACGGTCAGCCATGACACTTCTAAGTCTGTGCCGTGTAGATTGAACGAGCAGTGACCAAAATGCAAGGCTTACGTTTGATGGGCTTGTTGGGGTCGTAGCTACTCGCATTGTGTGTAATTAACACTAAGAACAAGAGCGCGTACCCGCTTGCATGCATGAAAGCCACTTTTCTGAGAAAATCAATGCCTGCTGGCAGCTGCTTCTTTGCAACGCGCAACACAAGCCAACAAGATCAGAGTTTCGGCGGCATTCCGCGAAAGCAGACTTTGCACTATGCTCCGCGGAAGCTTCCTCGAGCTTCCGCGCTCTGCCAAATCCTTCCGCGGAATCCCATTTTGGCACCGCCCCGAAAAAGAGTTCCTTGAAAATGTTTGATCGCTACTCGAATGACTTCTGCGCAATCTCCACCCAAGCGCCTTCCAGCTTTGCCAAACACTCCCTTGATGCCACTGGCGTTGGCAAACCTGACAGTGCTCAGCTTGCGGGACGTTAGTCGCAAACTGCTCGGATGCAGCCCTTCTCCTGGCTTGCTGCCACAAGGGCATCATTGTCTGAAGCAGGCCTGCGAGACAAGAACAGCACGAACGCGCAAGGGCTTCTACATTTTTGTACATGTGTTGCGGCCCCTGTTTCTGAGGCCAAAAACGCGCACTTGTTCGCCCCCGCGAAATCTCAATGTTTTGCATAGCGTGCCTTGGCTCCTATGGTGCCTAAACACTGCCTTGCGGAAAAGAACAATGCTGCAAGCTAAACCATGTTTCCCTCCCAGTTGAAACAAGGACGGGCAAGTCTCTGGCAGAATGAGCTTCCACACTTCGTCCACGCCACAGTTCAACGCAAGCTGCGGAGACTGCTCCAGACTGCGCGCCCCATTGGTTTTTCTCCGACAAAAGGACATCAAACGAAAGATCCGCCCTAGTGTTTATATGGCTGCTGCGTGTGACTGAACGCAGACGCACGTTGTCGTTGAATGCCTGAAGATCTCGTTTTGCAGCCCAAGCCCCTGGTGTTTCGCTCCTTGAAAGGCTCGCAACACCCCTGCTTCACTGCCAAGTTCCAAAGCCCGGGGCTTTCCAACAGGTTTCAGACTGCTGTCTGAATGGAACTGATTTCACCATGGCAAGCTCAAGCGCCTGGGTGGCGCGTGCTTCGGTAGCGCTGCAGGAGAGCCTTCCGTCTCCAAGTCCTTTCACGCAAGTGGAAACGGCTAGTGAGACAGCTCGAGCTGTAAATCTTGCATCCTCGTCGAAAGACTTCTGCTTGGGTCCACTTGGCAAACTTGCGATGTCCGCTTGTGGTTCGGCGTGAAAAGCTGCAAAGCCAGCAGGCGGTAACTGCCAAATGTCAAGGGTTCCGCTGCCCAATCTTGAACAACAAAACAAATCTTTCGGAAGCCGTAGCAAACAGCTTGCTGCAAAGCCGACTGCCTGCTACCACGGGCAGCTGCGCACACTGTGCTGCCAAGCCTAGGGCCTAGAGTAAAGGTCCACAACCCCCACAAGCCGGGAGCACAAGTGAGCGGCGCTGACCAAGATAAAGGTCCCTCATTTCATTGCGCACTATGCTGCTGCGTGGGATACATCCTCCGCCCCAACACGCACAACTCCGCCTTCCACGTGGGCGCTTTTCTACTTCAGCAAGCTCAGCGAGCAACGCTTACTATGTTTGAGCGAAAGCCCACAAGCACAAAGATTTTTGCATGTTTGGGCTCCGCTCAAGTCAAGCACTTTGATAGGTCGTGATGGGTCGCAATAGGACACCGTTGGGCCCATTGAAATTGTCATGCCTCAGTCAGAAGGAGGCAGAAGAGGCGTGTCAATCTCATCAGCAGGGCGCCCCGCCACCGGCTGCGCCATCAAGCTGCGGGGCACGCTCTGGCATGCCGTTCTGCAGGATACGCACACCTCTGCGTTGCAAAGGTTGTCCATGTCTTAGACATGTTGGCCCTGGGTCAAGATGCGGCTCTGTATCTGTGCAATGCCCGATGTGACCTTTCAAGATGCGATTTCCAGGCACTTTATTGCGCATGAACAATGCGTTTGCCTGCAATGCCGTGAGCAAACGCAGCCCCTGTAGCCGACTGGGAATCCTGCAGAAACCGCAGCATGCTGCGAAGGCCGACTGCCGATTTCCGCAAAACCAAGTCATACACGAGGCTGCTGTGGGCCCTCTTCCTCAACATGCGCAACACCTTGAAAGGGGCCCTCAATGTCAGCACAGACCACGCCCGAGGCTCGGACCAGTGAATGGCCTCACAGCTCCTCCGCGGCTCCCGTGCCTCGGCCGCGCTCGTGAACAAGCTCCATTCAAGCATCCATCCTTGAGAGAAAGAACCTTACAATTATCTTTCTTTGGGCTTCTCCCGTTTCTTGCCCAGCCGGAGGTCAAATTTCTTTGGCGTTCCGACCCAAGAATCTATTGACACCTTCCCCATTCTTTCCAGGGATCCTTCTTTCTAGAAAACCTCCGGAAACCGAGGAAAGCTGGCCCGGTTTTTGGAAAGAACGATGGTTGAAAAGACTGGGAGATCAAGTCCTAGACTTGTGGGAGAATTAGCTAGCATTGACAAATGATTGGAAGCGCTTGCCAAAATGACCTCAATGACGAATCAACCCATGGAAAGAAGGTCGACCTACCAACAAAAACCGCCCGCGTTCCTGTCACCTGGACCCGCGTGCCCGTTGCCTCGGCAAAGTCGTCCAGGGTGGCCATGGCCTAAGTTGGTTCCGCCCTCGCCGGGTCTGGGCGTTGGGAAGTCAGCGAAACACCCTTCTTGGGTGGTGGTCAAGAGGAAAAAAGCCGTAGTGGTAAGCTCTTGGTGGTAAGCTTTTGGAATTATTTTTTGGCGGTAAGCTATTGTTTTAATTGTTTGGCGGCAAGCTTTTGGTGGTACGCTTTTGGTGGTAAACCTGCTGGTGCTAAACCTGTTGGAAGTTTTTGGCGGTAAGCTTTTGGTGGTAAGCTTTTGGTGGTAAGCTTTTGGTGGTAAGCTTTTGGTGGTAAGCTTTTGGTGATATGCTTTTCATTTTAACCTTTTAATGATAAACGTTTGGTGGTAAGTTTTGGTATGCTTTTGGTGGTAAGCTTTTGGTGGTAAGCTTTTGGTGGTAAGCTTTTGGTGGCAAGTTTTTGGTGGTAAGCTTTTGGCGGTAAACCTGTTCGTGGTAAACCTGCTGGTGGTAAACCTGTTGGTGGTAAGCTTTTGGTGGCAAGTTGTTGGTGGTAAGCTTCTGGTGGTAAGTGTTTGGCGGTAAGTTTTTGGTTGTAAGCTTTTGGTAATAAACTTCTGGTGATAAGTGTTTGGTGGTAACCTATTGGTGGTAAGTTTTTGGTGGTAAGCTTTTGGTGGTCCCCCAATCAACAAATACACCCTATCCGTTTTTTCAGACACCCAGATCCCCAAAACCACTTTTATCTCTAGAGCAATACTAAACTGGCTGACGTCTTATCAGAACCCAAGCTCCATACTGACCAGAATTGACGCAACCGGGGTCCTTCTTTCAACTTCAAAGGTTGTACTGCAGCCAATTGAGGAAACAAAGAGCTGTTCCCTTTCAAAGTTTGTACTACGCCCTATTTACAAAGTCACAAGTTGGGTCTGCTTCAAGGATGAGTGTGGAGCCCTTCTGACCCCCACTAATAAATATCGTTTGGCCCGGAGCGAATATATATTAAAAAAGGTATTTATAGTGAGGGGGAAGCAACCAGCATCACCCGCGAAACTCACCTTCGGCCCCACACCAACCAAGCTTTTGGGGCCGGCTTCCCTATATTCCCCCTAACATTACCTGGAAAAAGACCTCACCTTGGGCCAATAAAAAAAACCAACAGCGAAGAAAAAACGGCTCCCGTCCCTCTTGGGCGCAGGGCGAAGTGCCGCGCATCCACCAGGAGCTCCTTGGCCGCCACCGCCAGGTACCTCGGGTCCTGGCGCCCGAGATAAGTTTCGTTTGGCCCGAAATGCGGAAGATGAAATCCGGCGACAGATCTTTTCCACCCCCTTCCCCGGATCTGTTCCCCCTTTCCCCCCTTCCCCCCCTAAAATATTGTCCCCCATTTCCCCCCCTAAGATCTTTCCCCCCCTCTCCCCCCCTCAAAATGTCAAAGATCTTCAAGGGAAAAGGGGGGAATGATCTTAGGGAGGGAAAGGGGGGAACGGGGGATAGGATCTT